GCGACACGTGTGAGGTTACCCCAATATTTCTACATAAACATTTTAATTTATATTACGTAGGTATTTATATACCAAAGTGGAATACCCATCTTTCGATGTGGGATAATTCCCAAACATCATTAAATGAAAAGGGAATTTATATATATTCTATTAATCATCAAGTTACAACCACATATGGTGAGATGGCGCTGTGGTTAAGACCTTTGCTTCTTCATGTGACCTCTCAAGGTCGAGTCCCCCTGTGGGCGTTATTTCTTTATGTTGTATAGTTTTTGTTGTATATATTGTATAAATATTTTTGTAAATAATATAAAAAGCATAAAAAATGAAAAATAAAAAAGTTAATTTTTTGTATAGCAGTTAATTTTTGTTATATATAGTGGTATAATTATTTTTTTTAAATAATATGAAAGGCATAAAAAAATAAAACATAAAAAGTTTATTCTATTTGAAATCTCCATCTTTCTACTAACAATCTTTTTCACTAAATTTATTATAGAAACCTAAAAAAATAAATTTTTGAAAAATTGAAGTGTTATTTCCAAAATTTGTACGCATTTTATTTAAGTTTTACATTGATAACCAAATATTTTATTTTATTTATTAATTTTTACATTATAAATCATGTAATGTACTATTTTTCTTACAGTTGTCAATGATACATTTTAAATTAGATAATATTATAAAATATTTTTAATTTATTATTATTTGTCTAATAAAATAATTATAAAATGTAAACTAATAATTATAATTTCAGTATATAATATTATAATTAGTTAGATTTTAATAATTTTGGATTATAGTTAGTTAGGCTGTAATAATTTGGATTTTTTTAGCGAATTAGGGTTTTTCGTCAAAACGAGATTTTAATGGCTATTTTTTCATTGATTAGTCTACTCTTTATAATAGTCCATGTATAATTATATATTTTATCTATGATAATTCTATGATTTTTCTTTCATGTGATGTAAATTTAATGGTTAACATAAGTTTATACAGGGAAAGAGCATCTCAATATTCACAAATTGATGAAAAAAATGAAAGTTAATAATGTAGTACCTTTATTTTTTATTGGATTCCTAAAAAACAATATTTATAATGAATTTTAATAATTTTTTCGGATTTTTTTGAAGCTTTAATCCGACCGATTCAGTCGATCCGGATCGGTTTTTGAGATGCCCGATCCAGGTCACCGATCCGCTTTTTAAACCATTGGTTTAGATATCTTCTTCAGGATCTAATAAGAATGGTGATCCCAATTGGAAATATGGCTATAACCCAAATGCTAATGATAAAAATTGTATCAGATGCAAATTTTGTGAAAAATAATACAAAAGGGGGCATCAACTGATTCAAGAAACATCTTGCCAGTATCAGGGGGGATGTTGCCCCATGTAAAAAGACTCCTGATGTTGTTAAAGAGGAAATAAAGAATTTTTTGAACATGGTGAAAATGAAAAAAATGAGAGAATTGCCTCTATAGCAGATATTAGGTCTGAGGTTCAAGTCAATTTTGATGATGATGATAGTGACGAGGAAAGGATTGGGGAGGAATGTCAAGAGCTTGAGCAATCTATTATTAGGGGAAAGGGGAAGGGAGTTGTAATTGCTTTTGGTTCTGTGATTAAGAAGCCTCGGGTTAAAGGCCTTATGCATAGTTTTTTACCTCGGCCTGAACCTGAGGTTGCAGGAGAGAAAAAAAAGAAAGAAAACAAACCACCATTGAAAATAGAATCAATAAGGAAGATAGAGATATAATTGTGTATTATCTTGCTACATGGTTTTATGAGGCGGGCATTCCTTTCAATACCGTTCGCTTAAGTAGCTTCTATCGATAGAGGCAGTTGGCCAATTTAGCCCTAGGATGAAACTCCCGACCCCATATGAGCTTTCAGAGCCTTTTTTAAAAAGACAATGAGTGTCACAAAGGAAGTTGTAGAACTTAAGAATGATGCATGAGCTCAATATGGGTATAACTGATGGTTGGAGTGATAGGAAGAGAATAAGTCAGATGAATTTGCTTGTGAATTGTCCTGTAAGGACTGTTTTTTTGAGGTTTATTGATGCATCTGATCATATCCTTGATGCCCATTACATATTTCAAG